CTGGGTGACAGAGTGAGACTCTGCCTCAAACAAACAAACAAACAAAAATAGCTCTTACCTTCCTCCAGCCTCCCTGGGTATTCCAGTTGCTCTCTCATAATTACTACCCTTTGTCCATCCAGTGGATAAGCACTTAGGCCTAACTGCTCTTGAGGTCTTCATTTTGCTGTGAAGGCTCCCATGTACATGTAAAAGTAAAACGTATATGCTTTCTCCCGTTAATGTCTTCTTTCATTTTAGTCTATGCAGGCTGCTATAACAAAATGCTATGGGCTTGGTGGTTAATAAGTGACAGGACTTTATTGTTCACAGATCTGGTGGCTGGCAAGTCCAAGGTCAAGGTGCCAACAGATTCAGCTTCTGGTGAGATCCTGCTTTCTGGTTCACAGACAGGGCCTTCTCACTGTGTCCTCATGTGGTGCAAGGGGTAAGGGGAAAATAAATCTCTGGAAGGGCACCAATCCTATTCATGAAGGCTCCACCCTTATGGCATAATTACTTTCCAAAGAACCCCATCTCCTAACACCATCACCTTGGAGGTGAGGATTTCAAAATATGAATTTTGGAGACAAACATTCAGTTCATAACAATCTGGATTTGTTTTTCTGTGGCCCAGTGGACTCTACTGTTGAGGAGTCTGAATTGAAGACATAAAGAGGCCATAGCTCTCTCACCCTATTTTCAGGAGCCCCTCTTCTTTTCTGTTTAATTCAGCACATTTTAAATTACATGAGCACTTAAATGTTGCTCTCTAATCTTTTCTACAATGTTAATAACTTAGTGGGGCTACATTCAATAAGGGCAAAGGATATTTACCTTGTAACAGTGTAAGTAAGACTTGTGTTTAAAGACTGACATTGCTGATCCTTTGCTTAAATAATTAAAAAAAAAAAAAAAGACAATCCATAGCAGTAGTATACAATTTAAGAATTCCAAAAGGATATATAGTGAAAATTGAGTCTCCCTCAATTAGGGGGTTCCTCAGTCCTTAATTTCCCTCATCAGATGGAGTTTCTTGTTTCTCAAGAGATACATATACAATAATTGTTTACCTAAATAGTAGCAAACTACATATATTCTACATCCTGCCTTTTATTAAACCTAACAATTTATCAAGACATGCAACTGCTATCTGATTTTTTTCTTAATGACTTGAGGATATGAAGGTTGTTCGAATTGTTTTATCATGATGATAGATTTCTCACCCCAATAACCAGGTGAGCCTAAAGGAGCATTAATAATGAGCATCTTGGGCTGATGCCACATTTTAACAAGTATTTGTTGAATTCCCCCACATCATGCTGGTATAGGGGGGAGCCTGTGAATTAAACTGACCAAAGACAGACAGGAGAAAGGCATCCACATTGTATTGATCTCAATATTTTTATGTGCATGGGGTGTACAGGAAAGAAGTGAAAACCCAAAGAAGTTGTTAGGCTCAGCTGCTTGTAACCCATTTGTAACGAAGGGTGACAAATTGTCAGCAGGTGACTAGGGCATGTGTGGTGCTATGCGAGATATATATATATATATATATATTTTCAATTTTCCCCCTAATTCTGCGATTCCGTTTTCCCAACTGAAGGAAACTTGCAGCTCACAATCCCCTCACTGATGCAAATGACAGGCAGAGGATTGGGTAGGGCTGGAGAGTGTGAAAGGAGAATAAATCTTGGGCCCCAAAATCACTAGCTAAAAGGAAAAGTCACGCTGGGAACTGCTTAGAGCAAACCTGCCTCCCATTCTATTCAAAGTCATTCCTCCGCTCACTGAAATAAATGTGTATCTGATGGCCTCTTTTGGAAAGGCTAATCAGAAACTCAAAAGAATGCAACCATTTGTGTCTTATCTACCTATGACCTGGAAGCCCCCTCCCCACTTCCAGTTGTCCCGCCTTTCTGGATGGAACCAATGTTCATCTTACATATATTGATCGATGTCTCATGTCTCCCTAAAATGTATAAAACCAAGCTGTGCTCGGACCACCTTGGGCACATGGCTGTGTCATGGGCGTGCGTCCTTAACTTCGGCAAAATAAACTTCCTAATTGAAACTAGTCTCAGATATTCGGGGTTCACAAGGGTAATTCACTTAATCACCCAGTGTGCACAGCCAGCCCGCACCTGTCAGCACACAGACACCTTTCTGTATGCGAGTGATGAGAGACCACGGAAGAAACACTCTACCAAGTGAGCCCAGGGAAAGCCAGCCATCTATGCCTGTGGCCAGCTGCCTACACCCGCACACCCAGGAGACTGCAGAATGGTGCCTCTTAGCCTTCAAGGCCCTGTTTTCCTGTCCGCCTGCATCCCCTGTGTGGGCCAAGCCTTAGTTTCTTCATCTGTTCTCTCTCCCCAATCCCAAGACTCTGACTTGGGGCACACAGGCCTCTGGCCCCTTTTCCTGAAAGCAGGAAATGAACCCTACATGTGAAAGGTGCATCCCTCTACTGGAGGATGAAGCATCATGACTAGGCATGGGGACTCAAGGCCAGAAGAAATGGCCACCATCCAGGACCTGGGCAGGGCTGGGGGCGGCATTTTGGCTGAAACAGTAAGAGACTTTTAAACCAGAGCGACTCCGTCTTGTATAGAGGCTGGGTAAGATAAGGCTGAGAGCTGCTGGGCTGCATTCCCCAGAAGTTAGACATTCCAAGTCACAGGATGGGATAGGAGGTTGGCACAAGATACACATCATAAAGACCTTGCTGATGAACCAGCATGTGGTGAAGAGGCCGGCAAAACCAAGATGGCGACCAGAATAACCTCTGGTCATCACGACTGCTCATTATACGCTAATTATAATACATGAGCATGCTAAGAGATACCCTCACCAGTGCCACAACAGTTTACAGATGCCAAGACAAGGTCACACTTACCCTATATGGTCTAACAAGGGGAGGAACCCTCAGTTTCTGGAATTGCCCATCCTTTTCCTGGGAAACTCATGAATATCCCACCCCTTATTTAGCATATAATCAATAAATAGCCATAAAAATGGGCAACCTGCAGCCCTCCGGGCTGGTCTGCCCATGGAGTAGCCACTCTTTATTCCTTTATTTTCTTAATAAACTTGCTTTCACTTTACTCTATGGATTTGCCCCGTATTCTTTCTTGCCTAAAATCCAAAACCCTCTCTCAGGGTCTGGATCAGGACCTGTTTCTGGTAACAAAACCACCTGGGGTGTCAGCAAGACCCACCCTGTTCCCCCTCACCCTAGGTGACCTGACCTGCCAGGTGGTCCCTCCAAACCGCTCTGCCCACAGGATTGGGACACCCCTCTCTGGACCCTCAGCTTGATGCTGACTGCCCACCATGTGGGCAGACCTGGGGGCTGGCTGCTCCTGGGGACCCCCTTCATAGCTTCTCAACCGGCACTCACTCCTGCTGCCTCGCCCCCACCCCAGCCCCCACAAACTCCTCTCCATCCCCTACCCCGACCAACTTAGCCCCCACCTAACCCTCCAGCCTGGGGCTCGTGAGCCCTCCCGCAGCCCCAACCCTTGGTTGAGAAGCCTCTTCCAATCCCACTCCCCGGACCCTGACGCTCGCATGGCTGCCCCTTGCCCCACCAGCTGTCCCCATTCCACTCCTAACCCCGAAGTAACCCCCCAACTCCCATCCCCCTCCACACTCCCTTAACCTCCCCTAAAAATCCCACCCCAGGCCAACAAGACTCCTCCCTTCGCTGGGCTGTGAACCACATCGTCCCCACCGCCCAGTAAGCTCCCCGCTGCGCCCTCCCCTGGCCCGTTCTGAGCCTCCCACCCCCTGCCACCTTCTTTCCCCAAGTCACACCCAACCTCTCCTAAGAGGCGCCGCCCCCATCCCGGCCGACGCTCTCTCCCTCGCCCAGCACTCCCCTTCCCCGGCTCCCACCGCCCCACCGCTGACGCCACAAAGCCCCTG